TAAAGAAGTTCACTATAGATACAGTATCTAAAGTATTGCTGTTGTCAATTCGTTTGTTTAAATTTCACACATTTCAAGTAATACAAGCTAGATATGTTAATAGGCGTGCTTAAAAAATAAAATAAAAGAGGGGAAAGCAGCTGAATAAATTTAAAAATATCTTGAAGACAGCATGCAAATTGCTATAACTAATAATAACTACGCAACTTAGAAAGAAAAACCACAAAATAGTTGCTAATTCGTGGGCAAATACAAAAATTAAAACGTATTTAGACCAGGGCTGCACAAAGATTCTATCGATTTAAAAGTAAGCGAAGTTGCCGAAGTTGATATATAATAATAAAATATACTGTAGAACCATTCTAAAAATTTCATAAAAAATATATAAACATATTTATAGATATATTTACATATATGATTTAATTAAATGTCAAAATTTGAATGAAAATAAAATTAGATTTTAATGCATATTAAATTTGATTTTATTGAATGTTAAATTAGATTTGATTATATTTTTTTTTAGCTAGGCTAATTATAATTTTTCTATTATTATTTTTAATTTTTGTAGATTCCCTTTAGAATTTATATTGCAAAGTTCATTCAATTTCAAAATTTGACATTATATTGAGTTAATATTTCATATTTACATATGTTTTATATCTTATGTACCTACGAATAAAATGGGTTTTCCACGGAAAAAAAAGTTATTCATTCTAAAGTCCCTGAACAGAGTCAAACGAAGCGCCCACAAATGTTGGAAAAGTAATAATTAATAATCATGTCAATAAATCAAAACTAATTAATTTTAATTTTCAATCAAAGCTAAAAAAAAGTCAAGGAATTTAAATTTCGACAGTTGCCTTAACTATCAAATCCAGCACTAAATCCACCCACTGATATACGAACTACCTATGACTGACTGTGTGGCTGTAGTGGAAGGAATAAGAATCATACGAAATACGAGTAGCTAAACGCATGGCACACACATACGTATATACACTCACACTCGTATACCCAATGTAGGCGGTAAAAAGTTCGCACTTTTTTTGTTATACCCTGAATCCCATGAATATGAGTAGGCAGGGCATGATGTTTCAGTTGAAACTCTATATATAAGCACTGGAAATAGGCGTGACCCAGATAGCTTCTATATATTGTATATTATTGCAACGGCCATGTCTATAAAAACTAGCAAACTTTACTCATCTAACTCAGCCCCTTTAAACTTTATAAGAACTGTAAAGCTCGGCTTGACTAACACTTATACACTGCTAAATCACGTTGGTAACACTCCTCTTTTCATAGATAGATGTTGAGTACGTCTAGCCCTCTCCCTAGTTCTTAGCTCGAGCCAATCTCTGGCAATGCTGAATACATAGAGATTTCTCTTAGCCAAAAACAGGCTTGAAACTTTCGAATTGTTGAGCTAAAAACAGTTGTTCGGCGCATGATTCAGGGTATCTGGTAGTCGTTCACTATCGACTGGGGCACTTGTTTTTTGTGCTTTTGTGGAATTCGTCGCAATCGACGCTGCCGTCGTGTTCCGCCATTTGTAGCGCTCATTTAATTTTTTATTGTTGTTTATTGCTTAACGAAATGTTCATTTAAAATGTTTGATTACAACGATTTGTGAAGTTCAGTCGAATTTGTGATTTTCACGCTGGAGGAGCGACAGACAGACCGATCGACCGTCCAGGCGTCCGATCGACCGACTGATCAAGCGCTGCGAATGCAATTTTTTCGTGTGTGTTTGTTTTTTTCCTATTCTAAATTGCACGCGACTGGCGCTTGCGGCCTCAATATCAATCGACGATCGTATCAGATCGCTTTCAATAGCCATCTCAAATGCCGCACGGCGCAGTTAGTCTCAAGTCTCGCTCTTAACTAGTGCCACAAAATTCTAAACCGAAAAAAACGAAAAAATCGGACGAAAAATTCGTGATTGAAAGCTGTCAAAATGCAGTTCTTAAATCTGATCTGCCTCAAGCAAAGTGGGTGAAAAATAAATATCATAAATATTTGAAAAAGTGTGCCAAGTGCCTAACATAAAAAGAAAACATAAAAAATTTATATGCAAACTTTTATTTAAATATTTATTCTCTGATGAGACTTAAAACTTTGTGCAATTTATCATTCGTAAGCTAGACAAAGTTTGATCAAATGCAAATGCCTAATTTTATGAGATTTAGTGAAAATGTTTTGTTCATTTATTTATGAAGTTTACTTTTAAATAATATAATATAATATGATTAATGTGAAATAATGGGGGTTTCCTCAAGATTACTATAAAAGATTTTTAGAATCTAATAAACATTTGGCTAATATATAATGGCCTTTTTCAATTTTATGACTCTAATGCCTTTATAAATAAATGATTCATCAACTCGTACAAATAAGTATATAATAAAAACAATTAAAACAAACATTAAGATCAGCTAACTGCTTAATGCTCGTTCAAATTTAGTTTGACACTATAAATAGATTCCTTTACATTCATTTTGATTTTTGTCATGAATAAGTATTCTTTATAGAAGAAATTGTAAGTTTCTCAAAGAGAAACCAATATACTCAGCTCAGTGTTTGAGCGAGCATATTCGTCAACAACGATTTCCATACTTGTGCATGCATAACTCACAGAGCTTTCATGTTGCATTGTCATATAAGGTCAGAAAACTAGAATTCGATAGAAACTATATATTATATTTTAGTATATAGACTACATAAAGTATATATAATTGATTAAGGTCACTTTTTGTTGGGCTTCTAAAGCTTGTTCTAATATTTATACTAAATACTAACCGACTTCGATGATATCTCTCAAGTTTGTTTATATTTATAGCTGTTACCAAAATAAAAATTGAGATTTGTTTTGAGATTTTCGTTCTCAGCTTGTAGATCATTTATCAACGAAATGTTGAGCGAATGCAGTGCTAAATATCAATTAATCTTCATGCTAAACGTTGAAAACTTGAAATGTCAACAACTTGGCTTATAAATAGAATGCAAAATTTATTTAAGAAAATAAAATATTGAATACAAATTTATATATTGCATATACCAAAGATTAGATATTTTGAATATTCCTGCAAAGGACTTTATTAGTAATTTATATTTAGGCTTTCAAGACCCAAGATGAGAGGTATAAAGAAATTCCAGTAAAGGAGTTTAGGATAGCTAAACATAGATATTTTAATAATTTACTCTGAAAATATAGTATGAATATTATTAGAACTAGAAACTAGAATAATAAAAATTTAACCTTCAATCCCATTTAAATCCCTATTAAACCTAGTGACGTTTTCAAGTCTCAAGCAAGAAACTATCGCATTTATCTATCTCTCTAGATTAATATTCAATTAAAAATGGCGCTATCCATAATATTTGCATATCGATCAAGTGAATATAAATACAAAGTGCAATTCCCATAAAGAGTTCAAGCACTGTGCACACTGATCGCAGCCCATTAATGTGTCAATATTGAAATTATAAAGATCGTACAGAAAGAAATGCCTTGTCTAAAAATAGAAACCTCATAAATACATATTTGCGAATGCAAAGTGCAATAAACGCAAAATGTGTTGACGCCGCAGCCACAACAACACACACACACGCACACACACACGCACTCAAGCAACTGGTACGCACGTTACACACGCACACACACACATGCATTCACACTCACACTAAAAGCAATTGTCAGCTAGCCAATCACGATCACATTTACCGTTCCACAGTTCCACCATTCCCCTGCCCAACTTACGCGTGTTGCATTGGAAATGATATGCAAAACCGTGAAGTGGTGAACTCTTCTATAAATAGAATCGCACGCAGTGAGATGAGAAATGTTTTCTAGCGTGCGAATATTTATTTTGATATGTACTATGCACTATGTATGTATGTATGTATGTAAGCCGATGAGGGCGCATAAAGCTGCACAGTATTTAGCGCCTAGTGGCGAAAATTTGGACTCTAAATAAATGTGGATAAAGATAATTCAAATATGTATATATCTATAAATATATGTATGTATTATGTATGTACATATATAATACGTTTTTAGCGAATGTCAGAGAAATGCGTCTATGCCATATGCTAGAGACATGGAAACTAAATCATTAGCCAGCCAAGCAATGCGATTCACGAATTTTCCATGACGGTTCTTTCTACGTAGATACAAAACGTATTTACCGAGAGCTCAATGTATGTATGTATATGCATATATGTATGTCTGTCTATATCAAGGGAATGGAGGTTATTGTGGGTTATAGCTATGTGAATATATTGTCTTTCTCTCTATGCTCCACTTTTTGGAGCTCCATTGTTGCTAATTGTATTCGTTTGTTATATATGTATATAAAAAAAAAAAACGTTGCTTATGATATTGTTGTTGTTGTTGTTGCGTTGATAAAAATCTAGTACAATATATAGAAAAAGATACAAGCCGCGAGCCAAATGGAACATCTTTATATACTACACATATACGAATTATAAATACTCTACAGAAAATTTCAATTGGAACTTAATTAATAAATTAAATTTAATTCAAAACAGTCAGAAATTAACGGCAAACGTAAAATATATAGAAAACATGGAAAGTTAAGCAAAATATTATTGGCAACATAAAGGTTAATTTATTTTAAATATTTTGATGTGTTTTGATTTATATATATTTTGTTTCCTAATTGGGACTATGTGTTCCACTGTGCAACTTTATCATATCCCTCTCTCATTCTTACGCTCTCAGTGCACTGTAAAACAAACCCACCACCCATCCCCGCTTCATGCTGGCTTGTTGTTGATATTTGCTCAATACATTTATTTTTGTAGTTCTAATGTACGTTGTTGTTGTTGTTTTTTCTTTTTGCCTGTTGCCTCTACACTCGTCTCTTTACACACTTGTTACGCGTTGTTGCTGTTGCCGTTGCTGTCTGCTGCTGCGGCTAACGTTGGCGCTGACGTTTCCACCGTTTGCCTTTTGGGGGCTATTCCGCTTCGGGTTGCGCCAACATCGCTCAGTTGTTGTGCGGCGTTGAATACAAACGCGTCGATATCGCGTCGAGCGAAGCGATACCCAAAGCGTAAAGCGAAACGAACCGAAAGAACGAACGAGAAGAAAAAAACAACGCGCGCGTGCGTTTTGCTGCCAACGTCGATCGTCCACCGTGTGTATGAGACGAACAGAGATATATTAAGAGAGAAGGAAGGCGCATCTACTGCAAAATGTAATTACCGTAGCAATGAAGAAATCATCATAGTTTTGCGTAAATTGTTTTGATTTCTTTTGCGTGAAATCAATAAAAATGCGAAATGCAGGGCCTTAATCGAAACTAATTGAACTCTTGTGATCGCCGCCCATCGAGACAATTTCCTTGGCTCGGTCGTGTGACAAAACGCTGTGCTTATCATTTTCACATGATCGTGCGAGCGGTATGCTCTGGTGCACCCCACACCACACCCCCCCTACACCGCCCACACGCCGCCCTCAGCTGCTTGGCTAACGTGTGATTCTAATATTGATTCATTGTGAATTTTAGTTAGCGGCGCCTGGCAACGTTTGCTGTCGGTTCTTCGATTTTATTTTTATTTTCTTTTGTCTAGTTGCTATTTTAAAAAAGTTCGTTTTATTTTTTCGTCGCAAGATTTCGCTTAAATTAGCATGCACATAAAGGCGTCAATACCATCGCTCAAGTATTTGGCTTTTTCCAAAGCAACAAGAAACAAATATTTGCATACATACATACATACATATATGTATGCATGTATATTTCCTGTGCGAGAGTACTCTTAACTTTAGCCCCCCCCTTCCAGCCGCCCCATTGTTTGTTGTGTAAACATATTGTTTTTATTGCCTTCGAGCATTTTATTTGCCATTCTCATTATGGCGAAATTCGGCAAATGGTTTCCGTTAGCTCCAAGTGGAATTGACTTTATTTTCGACACTATCAATAATGGCGCGCTCTAGATAAAAAAATACTTCTACTGTTATTAATATTTCGTCAGATATTAGCCCATCATAACTACAAATACACTCCACTCCCTTCCAGCTAACTGTGATTACATGCAAAAAAAAAAAAAGAAACAATTGCAACTGCTCGAACGAGAGCGCAAAACTCTTTCCATGTTGAGTATAAACAGTTAACTGAATACTTAATTGCACTTTCTACACTTTGCTGTTGTTGTTTTTGTTGTTGTGGCGGTGATCTAAAAATAACTGAATGCGGTCATTGGTCCCTCACACACCTCCGCACAGACCAAACTGATTGCGCCGAGCGTCAATTTTTATGCTACAACGGATCAACGAAACAAAGAGAGGGACAGAGGGAGATAGAGTGAGAGAGAGATTCAATTATAAAGAGAGCAAGCGCGCACTGTACGCACTCAATTTGCCGCCACTGTTGTACAGTCAGCGTCTAGAATTGTGAGCACGCTCTTACTTAACTGCAGTTGATTCATAAAAATTCTAAATATATGTACACAGCGCTTATCAGTTCGCCTGGTTGTGGAAAAATTTGTGCCTTTACTCTATTTATCAGTCATTAGCAGGGCAGCAGGTCTTCTCAGCTGTACGTGTATCTGTGTGTGTGTGGCGACAGCTGTGTGTGTTTGTGTGTGGCGGCGGCATGTGCTGCTGGGCGTAAACATTTTGTTTACTTTATGAACGGCTGCGAGTGCAAGTAAATTCCCTCTCGGCCCCATATTTGCTACCCGAAAAAAAAAAAATCAAATGCGCCGCTCAGCTGTACTTGTAAGAGTTCGCACAGTGGGCACAGTTGAGAGTTTTGCAATTCAAATACAAATTTCTGTAATATTTTAATTATTTATTTAAGCCAAAGAGTTTTCTTTGTTATATTTTTATATTTTAATAGACTGACTAACTTATCACTTAGGTTTTTTTATATTTAGTCTATTGAAGACTTCTTGAATCACTCTTTTAATCAGACATTTCTACTTAAATAAATCACTTTATGATATATATAGTGAGCGATAGTGTTCATGGTTTTCAGTCAGCTCCTAGAATATTAATGTTTTCTTTTCCTCATTCCCACATTTCTTATCAATCATATTGGTCATTCAATCCATTTCAATAATTCCTTAAAATCCCATAACTCTTCTACTCTTTGCCGAAACCGTATGTGATTTCGATTGATGAAAACCCGATTTTAAGTCCTTCTTATGCATGTTAATAGTATTAGTAGATCAATCAAGCAGCTGATGTATAGAAGTATCTCGTTAAAAGTATTTTCCTTAATAGAATTTTAACTTTTGTAATGCATGATATTTTCACGTATCCCTTTGGAAACCCGTAGATTTCACTCGTTCTTCACACTTGCGCGTGGATTTCAAATGAATAAATTGGCAATGCCTTCAAATGCATGCTAAAATAATCAATGGATCATTTTCAATCAATCAATATTGGTGTAGGAATATTTTTACCTTAAATTGCTTCGCATTTTCTGGTACCAAGGCGCTCCACTATTATACGTAACTCTTTCTCTTTTGCTCTATTGCAGAAGTTGCAAACTTCGCCAACAACAACAACAACAACAACTGTAACTACATTAGCAACAACAACAACAACAACAACAATTGTATCAAAGTAACTGAAGATTCAAACGTTGATAAAAAACGCATCTTTGACTGCTTTGGCAAGAGAGAGCAACAGGAGCAGCAACAGCAGGAGTCGGCGGATCAGCAGCAGCCGGTGGAAACAGATTCACATCAGCTGAGACTCAGCGCCAGTTCGGGCAGCTACAACGTGCAACAACAGCCCAGTGCCACAGCGAGCCAGAGCCAAGGCAACAGCAGCTACTACCGGCAGCAGGAGACGGAGCTTAACCAACAGTCCGAGCAGAGGAGAGAACAGCGGCAGAAGCTAATCAAGTCGGGCGTTGCTGTTATAGCCAAACAACCCAAGCGACAAGCGACACAGCGCTCACAGAGCCAGCCGGCGATTCTGCAGCAACCGCAACTCAGTCGCAACAAGCGTCCCGGAACACCGCCCCCGCACGCCGTCAAGAGCATGACTTCCATACCTGCCACGCTGTCCAGCAACAATGTTGCGGCAACAGCAGCTGCAACGGCTGCAGCTGGATTGGGCGCCACGGCGCCGGAGAAACAGCCCTGGCCGAACTCCAAGGACGACTACGAGCTGAGGGATGTGATTGGTGTGGGCGCCACGGCGGTGGTGCATGGCGCCTACTGCATACCGAAGAACGAGAAGTGCGCCATCAAGCGCATCAATCTGGAGAAGTGGAACACCTCGATGGACGAGCTGCTCAAGGAGATCCAGGCGATGTCCTCGTGCAATCACGAGAACGTCGTCACCTATCACACATCGTTTGTGGTGCGCGAGGAGCTGTGGCTGGTGCTGCGCCTGCTCGAGGGTGGCTCCCTGCTGGACATCATCAAGCACAAGATGCGGACGTCCAACTGCAAGCAGGGCGTCTTCGATGAGGCAACGATTGCCACCGTGCTCAAGGAGGTGCTCAAGGGCCTGGAGTACTTCCATTCGAACGGACAGATCCATCGGGACATCAAGGCGGGCAACATACTCATCGGCGACGATGGCACCATACAAATCGCTGACTTTGGTGTCAGCGCCTGGCTGGCCACCGGCCGGGATCTGTCCCGGCAGAAGGTGCGGCACACCTTTGTGGGCACACCCTGCTGGATGGCACCGGAGGTGATGGAACAGGATCATGGCTATGATTTCAAGGCGGACATCTGGTCGTTTGGCATTACGGCCATTGAGATGGCCACGGGCACGGCGCCGTACCACAAATATCCACCGATGAAGGTCCTCATGCTGACGCTGCAGAATGAGCCGCCCACCTTGGACACGGGCGCCGAGGACAAGGATCAGTATAAGGCCTATGGCAAGACATTCCGTAAGATGATCGTTGAGTGCCTGCAAAAGGAGCCATCGAAGCGTCCGACTGCCAGCGAGCTGCTCAAGCACGCCTTCTTCAAGAAGGCCAAGGATCGTAAATATCTAACACAAACCCTGCTCCAGTCCGGCCCCAGCATGGAGACGCGCGTCCACAAGGCAGCCAAACGACAGCCGGGCGCCTCGGGGCGATTGCATCGCACGGTCACCGGCGAATGGGTGTGGTCCAGTGAGGAGGAGGACAATGCCAGCGGCACTGGCGGTCGCAAGAATCCCTCATCGGATTCCGAGTCCGAGGATCGTCCGATCAATCGACTCGAACGCGCCGACTCCTCGGACAGCGATCGTGATGAGACAACGCCCGATATAACACGCAGCCTGTCATCGGCTACAATGACGCCGGGTGGCGCTGCACCTGCTCCTGCTTCCGCCTCTGCAACAGCTGCTGGTGCCGCCCAGGAGCTGGCCGCTGGTGTGGCCCAAATGCCGCTGCCCAGCGAAGCGGCCGGCGAGGCGCCACCGGTGAATCTGGTGTTGCGCATGCGCAACCTGCGGCGGGAACTGCACGATATCCGTTTCGAGTTTGCCGTGGGCAAGGATACGGCGGAGGGTATTGCAACGGAACTGGTGGATGCGGGCCTGGTGGATGCCCTGGACACACAGCCGATGGCCGTGCATCTGGATCAGCTGATTGCCCAATCCGACACGATGAAGACAATAACGTTCCAGCTGAGCTCCGGCGTACAGCCGGGCGAGACGCCCGACGAACGCTCGCTGGTGGGCTATGCGCAGATATCCATAACGGACTAGGATACGGTCACATATCCACCTTAATAACCTCCCCTACGGTCATCTACCGTTATGTTGCCTGCGCCGCTTTTAGCTATATAGACTAGAAACTAGACTATAACTGTAAATGCTAATGCTAGTTATAGATCGGAGAGAAAAGAAGAGAAAAACGCAAGCCGTTCGTTTACTATAGAAATTATATATGCCTATAATATCATGCTAGCTATTTGTATCTGTCTCCTTCACTCTCACTCTCACTCTATCTAACTGTCCCACTCTTCTTAACTCTATCTCTATCTCTTTCGCTCTGCGCATTGTAATTACTTCATAGAACCCCCTTTCGCAGTCCTACCTCCCGAAAAAAATGAGAAATACCTGCCGTAGTTAGTTGCAGCATCCAAGCTAAATCGAAAATCGTGTACTTATTCGTTATTGTTTCTGCATATATAGAAAACAGATATATATATATATATATACTATATATTACAATCCCTACACAATCATATATGTATATATATATTCGTATATATATATATAGTATATGTACATTTGTAGCGGCTAATATTTAAACCCGATTCGCGGGCATCTTTTAATTTATTCTCTAGTTTAAGCTAAAGTTTTGTTTTTTTTTTCCCTTACCCCTTTTGCCCCCATTAAATCTTTAAGATTGTTCGATGAAGTACAGTTGTGTCGATAACAGCTAAATAATTACCAATTAGCGTTAGTAATATTTTGTCTGCTAAAGATTGTATTTAATTGTTCATGAAGTACAGTAAAACCTACATATATACATACATATATATATATATATATATATATTATAATTATAATGAATATTAAACCACATACTTATAGTAAAAAAAAAAAAAAACAAAAAAGAAAAAAACGAAAAAAAATTATGAAAAGATATGATGAGAACAACAAATTTATTTTGTGTTTTTTCTTTCGAAAGGGATTTCTTTTAGATATTGGAAATTTTAAATATATTTTAAGTATTGGGAATAATATTTTTTTTTTTTTTAATTATAGAAAATGGAAATTTGTACAATAATTATTAACTAAATTTCAAGCAGTTTCTAGATTTTTAATTTGCAATGCTTTTTTACAAATTTGTTGCTTTAAAACATAATTTAATTTAAATTATTTTTTAAAATATTTAGCTATTAAAAGAAAATTTTTAAAACTTTTTTATCATCAGCTCAATTTGCGATACCTTTTCAATAAATACAGTAAAAGCGATAAGAAAAACAAACAAAAAGAGGAACTATAGAGTCTGTAGCACTCCCGATATATGCCAGTATTGCCTGTAATTTTAGACTAGTGGAGAGTACTTTTAAATTAAACATTTAGCTCTTAAAATACACATTTTAAATGCAAAGACCTCTTGAATATTCCTAGTGCTACGAAATACTAAGCCATAGGCGCAGATCGGTGACAACTATATATAGATCGTATATATATATATTGTCAAAACCTTATTGTACTTACATTAATGCAGAGAAATTGTATACGATTTAATTTGACATTGATATAAATAATAAAATGGCATTTGGCTCTACGAACCCATTTCAAAAAAGGTTTTATTCCGCCCAGATCAAAAATATATATTTCCGTACATATATAAAGTTTTCCAAATTCTGATACACCTTGCAGAGCACGGCGTGCGCCATGGCCGATTATTTCGATGAGCTGGGACATACGCCCACGGGTCCGGAGGGCGCCAACGACTACGATCGAAACTTTCGACGCCTTCAGGTCCTGGCCATAATGAATGGCATCGATATGGAGATCGAAGTGCCCGAGGCATCGAAGAGGGCCATAGACGCGCTGCCCATCCATGAAATTACAGCCGACGAGGTGAAGCCAGATTTCGAGTGTTCCGTGTGCAAGGAGCCGGCCGAAGCTGGCGCCAAATTCAAAGTTTTGCCATGCAAACACGAGTTCCACGAGGAATGCATTTTGCTATGGCTAAAGAAGGTAAGGAGGGAAATTTGTAATATCTAGAAAACATGTAAATTCGCATTTTTACGCACCTTTACAGGCCAATTCATGTCCCATTTGCCGTTATATCTTTGTAAGTAATAAAAATATATTTATATTTATAAAAAAGTTACTACCTAACCTCAATATAAATATTACCCACAGGAAACGGACGATGAGGTCTACGAGGAGCTGCGACGTTTCCAGCAGGATGAGCCCAATCGACGACTGCGCCAAGATAATTTGATGGATTCCATGTTTGGCTAAAAAAAAAAACAACCAACATATACATTAATTAAATATTTTTTGCAATGGTTTTGGTGTGAATTTGGTGTCGTGTTTAAATGCAATAAAATACAATAAAACCTAACGTTCTTTTTTTAATTATAAACGACAAGAAATACTTTGCAGCTTTATTTAAATTTAGAAGATACCCAATAGCTGTTGCCTAACAGAGGCTAACTCTTTTTAGCACAATTTTGCTCGCCAGCTCAATGTTCACGATGTTTAGTTCGAAGAACTAGTGCCAGTTCGATGATCTGAATTAAAATTGATCAATACAATATTCTTATTGTATTCTTTCTAGAAGTCTACAAATATTTTCCTGTTAAAAACAATGTGTATTAAAAATATAATCCCTCATCGACAATCCATATTTGATTTTTAATTAATTTTTATATACATTCACATTCGCCTTAACAGCATACTAATTTCAGCTCGCGAGCAACTGATTTGCCAGATGAACCAGTGATCAGCGCGCTCTTTTCCAACACTGTTTACACAACTCATATTTGTGCGCACTTCGGTTAAGCCGGTCAATTTAGTTGTGTTAATTTTTTGGGGAAGTTTCGCCGACATTTTTGGTTAAAAATTGTTTCACAGCAAACAAGCTGTGTTAACAGCAAAATACAAAATAAAAACCAAAAAAATGATGGCCGACGACGGCGAAGTAAATTTTTTCGATCGCAAGTTTGTGGTGGACAATTTGCGCAGTCAATTGCGCTGTCCAAAATGCACTCGCGAATATTCGCACAGTTATGCCAAAGAAGGGGCATCTCCAGGTAAGCTAAAAATAGTTTTTTATTCGTGGTAAGAAAAGTCAGATTTCAATTAAAGGCCATCAGCATAAATGTGCATACAAAAATTTAGGGCGCCTGAGGGCAAAATTTGAAGGGAGCGTGTGTATGTGTGCAGACTTCTCTGGCGTGCATTAGTGTAAGTGGCGAACCGTTATTTTTGTCTATGGGTGTATGCGTGACTCGCAGAATTTTGCGACTTTGCCTTTATGCTGCTTCTAAACAGAGAGGGAATTTTTATTGTATGAAGGCCAAATGTTGAGAAAATAGCAAATTGAGCAAGGGCTTTTTTTTTTTTATTTATTTTGCGTGTATTTACATGTGTGGCTTTCTAGCTTTTGTGCGCTGCAGACGAGCACAGCAAATTTTTGTTGTCTGGTGGAGGGAATTTTTATTGAATCAGGAAATATGAAGGGCAATTAATGAAGGCAAACGTTTTGTGCTGCGCTGAGAATACAGTAACTGTAAATTGAGTAAGGGCTTTCGCTTGAATATGACAGATCTTTTGTCTTACTCTATTTTGTGTGTGCGGTTATATTTCCCTTGTGTTGCTTCTCAGTAAATTATATTTTCTGGCAGAGGGAATTATTGAAGCAGAAAGGAAATGCGAAGGGTTTTTTTTTAAAGGCAGGGGATTTGTTTTTATTTTATAATTATTATTACCTATTATTTCAAAAATTTTAGATTCGTATATTTTTGTTTGGTATTTGATTTATTTATATTTAATTATCATCATTTATTCTTATATTTATGTTTAATTATTTATATTATTTTCTGCTAATTAATCAGTGAATTTACATAACTTTTAACCGATACAGATAATCGTAGTCCGTTTTTGTTACCGTGCGGTCATCATATGTGCGATTTTTGCATTTCAAAACATTGCCAGCAAAAGGACTTCAAGTGCTCGGTCTGCTCCAGCTCAGCGTTACCCATTTATATTGCCAAGGGATCCAATGGCAAAAATATTGGCAACATACGCGACTACTACGAGCTCAACTATTACGTGTTGGGCGAGGCAAATAGCCTTGAGTATGATAACCGTTATTTAATGCATGCACTAAATGAGTCATTCATCTGCTCCTCGCTGCCCAATGACATTGTGCTGGAGACCAAATGCAGCGAATGCGGCCACAGTGCAGCCCGAGGCGAGTGCAAGCAGTGCAATGCGTTCTATTGCCATCGCTGCTACGAAACGGTGCATCAGCACAGTCGCGTCCTCAAGACGCACCTCTTCCAGCTCCTGGACGATAAGCAGCACTCTTGCACCGGCACCGGCCTTCGCATCGGCAATGATATCTTTCGTATGCCCGTCCAGTTGATGTGCAACGTGCACAATGTGCCGGCCACCGTCTTCTGCACCTCATGCAGACGCAACAGCTGCGAAGCTTGCGCCATTCGGCATCATGCCAATCATGTCACATGCACAGTGAGCGAAATGGTGAGTAAGAGAAGACTGTTAACAGAGATAAACTCTCAGAATTTTAGCAGTAATAACTATTCGGCATAAGTAGTCTATAAATTCTATAAAAAATGTAATTTCCTATATTACTTATCGAAATCCATTTGTAGAATCATCGCTATGTTGCCGAAATTCCATCTTCTCTGAGTTCCATTGATGCGGCTCTCTTGCAAATCAACAATGCTCAGTTGGTGAGTAAATATAAATTCTGTACATATTTTACTTAATACTTTGCATTTATTTTAATTAAAACGTACATCTAAGTGTTTTCTATAGAGTATATATAGTTAGATAGTTTTTGTTTCATTTAAAGTTAACTATTTACAGTAGTCGCTCGCTAAGAATAATTTAATGGGCGTACGCAATCAAAAAACGAACAAGTACAAGAACTCTCATTACAAATATGGCAAGCGTGCTCTCAGCCACAGGCTCTCTTATTCTCTATCTCTCTCGGTCTCACTTTCTCGCCTGCTCTATGGGCATTAGGTGTCCAGTCGAGCCATCTGTTTTAATCTCAATCACCTCCTGCTTCTCGACGCTCACTTTTGTCGTCTCGAGCTGCTTTTGGCCGGCAGACGAATTTGTGTCACGCAAATTTTGCAGCTTCTCCTCCACCTCCTCGCTGCTCTCTGGCGAGTCCTCGCTCAGTTCAGACTCTGGATCGCTAGATAACGTGGGCAGCGTGTCCAGCTCATCGGATAGATCTGGCCCAGGTGTTGATGAGACTACAATCGGCCGATGTCCCAGGGTTTGAGAGTCTTGCAATATTGGCGTTGTTGTTGGGACTGGAGCCATTATCGTTGTTGGCGCCTGGCCATAGGTGTCGAAGGTGCCGCGCTCCGAGATGTCGTCAATCTCATCATCGATGAGCAGATTACGTTCCGAGCTCTGCTCGTAGACCTGTGCATTGATGCCGCTGCCATGTTTGGGCGATGGCTTGTGATTCTTGGGCAATGCGGGTGTAGATGCTTCGCCTAACGCGTCCGGCTTTTCCGCTATTTGATTGGCTTTACGCTGCTTTTCCAGACGCATTTTCTCTTCCATTTCCTGGAACTTCATGGCCAAATATCTGAAATAGCAGTGGAAATGTTCGTTATTTGTTTAGTTATGAATTGCCTATGCGTTGCATTTACTTATCCACAATGGGTCCATTGTAATCTTCGGGGAACTTCGGATTGAAGGGCAGTATGTACTTGTACAGCCGCTCATTCAATACGTATAACTGTGAAGTCGTCGAGCACTTTACATTGAACCACCAGTCGCAAGTCAGCGCAATCTATAAATAGAGAATCTTCTATGCGTTTCTTTGATTGACAGAGTTATGTTGCTTTACCTGACTAAAGATGGTGCCGTTGGGGCACAGGAACGAGGCTTTGCCGCCGTTGAGATCACAGTAGTGCCACACCTGGCAGTTGGTCTCCGGATCACCAAAGAAACCCTTGTAACGCTGCTGAGTGCACTCGAAGCTGGTCTTCGGTATCTCCGCATAGTTGGGATAATCAATGCCCGCACGACCTGTGCTAGGTCCAGGATGTTTATCTACGGAAAGATTTAAATGTTTTAAAGTTGGATAGACCAATAGACCAATATAGACCAATTTATAGACGGAATTCGCTAATGGAGTGGAACACGGGTTTAAAAGTGCACAAAGATCTGGGAAATTAAGAATTTTTTGTTAAAATCTGAGATTGGTGTATAAAAAGCCGGACTTGGTTTCGGTGAGTTTTATATATGGTTTCGGTTGGAGATTTGGAAAGTAGGTGAAAGACTTTTCTCTTTTAAGTTCAATAAATATAAAATTTAGAAGTATGAAATTTCAATAAATTCACGCTGAGAGTTGTTGATTTAAGATTTTAAAGTTCACGTTCTCCACAGATAATTTGAGAAGTGGTTTATCTCTAATCAAAATAGGTGAAAGACTATTTGCTAATCAAAACTAATCCATTTTAAAGAAATCAGTCGATTCATGCCCAAGGAAATTCTCTTTTGTTAATCAAGATCTCAATCAACTCTGAAGAGATCAAGAAGAAGAGATTATGTCGATTCACTTCTATGTGAGAGTTGACTTTATTCTTTTTTTTTATTTTTGTTATCTACTCACTTGGTCCCTTTAGATTCAGCAGATCCGCATCGACATGGCCCGCCGTCTTGGCTGGCGTCTGTTGCGCCTCGTCGCTGCCCGTGTTGTAATCATAATCGGGATGTCCGCTCCCGCTCCCGCTCACGCTGCTGCTAGGCTTGGTCTCGTGATGCTGTGGCGGATGGGGCACAATTGTTTGGGTGCGCTTGAGATTCTGCAGAATGCGTATCAGCGTTTTGATTGAGTTGTCTATGTTGTCCGGGGTGAGGGTTTGTGGCAGGTGGTTGCTCGCCTGCAGCTTGTGCAGGATCTCGGCCAGCGATGAGGTGCGTATGTCGGGCAGCTGATCAATGTCGTTCGGTGCAAGAGCCGGACTGGGTCGAGGCGCCGCATGGGGTCGCTCTTGGGCGTATTTGTGTATGGGCTTCAGTTTGATGGGCGGCGGTGCCTGGGGCTGCTCGCTGTGGATAGCGCCTGCTGGCGGTTTGCTGGTCACATAGACGTACTTGGGCGTTATCTTGACGGTCTCGCTGGGCGTGGGCGGACTGATGTAGACGGGTCGACGGGTGGCTTGGTATTTGTGCACTGGAGTCACGGGCTGGAGGCGCAGCGTGGGCTGCTGTTTGTACAGATGCGGACGGCGGGTGGGTGGTGGCAAGTCCGGAAGGCGCGGCGAATGATCCGTATAAGGAGCTGTGGTGGTCACCAGGATGTAGGCGTGTTGTTGTTGCTGGTGTTGTTGTTGTTCCTCGTCCAGCGATTGTCGCGGTCCATCGATGAGATAATCGATAAACTGTGGTGGAGCTGGGGATCTAAGGAAATAAAACAGCATGTGTTACAAATAGTAAACAAAACTCAACTAGAAGCAACTCAAGAACCCCAGGCCATATGTTCAGGAACATTGATATATTGATGCGGCGGCAGTGAGTCTGGACTTACCCGAGCAGCGTGTCCTTTGGCTGCTCTTGCAGTGGATTGAGGAGGGCGCGCAATGGTATATGCAGCACCTGTTGCTCAGGGGTCTCCGGACGTCCGAAGAGCCCGTTGTAATTGTGTAATTGACTGTGGTGCGATGCTGATGGTGGTTCGGCTGTGGGAGTATGTGTGTGTGGAGTGTGTGGGTGCTTGGCCGCCTTCGTATTGCTCGGCTCAGGCTGTTGTTGTTGATGATGATTGTGATGCGAGTGATGATGATGATGCTGATGCTGATGATGTAAGCGTTCCTGTTGTGTCTGCTGCTGCTGCTGCCTTTGTTGCTTCATGCGCTGCTGCAAATATAGCACGTACTTCTCCTGTGGCGTCAGTGGCTGTGGATGGGACTGTGGCTGCCGTTGTTGCTGCTGCTCCGGCGACATATTGAAGTAACTCTCGTATTTGCTTACGTGTCCATAGGCCGGCGATTTTTGATGGACTCGCAGTGCGCTTTTTGTGGATGTCGATGAGGTGGAGGAGGTGGCTGTGGCCGATGTCACAACGGCTGGCTCATTGTACACGTTATAGCCAACGCTGTGGGGCACATGCAAAAGCGTATGAGTGGTGTGAAGAGTGAGTGGGGTTTTGTAATGGATTTGTACTTGGTATTGAGAGATGTGTTGATGTATGGGTATGTTTCTTTGTTCTCTTGTGGTCCTTTGGAGTTAAAGGGAATATGTGTTGTCTATCGAAATTTATAATTAATATCGCTATCATATCATTCTTTGTTATTTTGGGATAGGTTGTCGTTTCAATATAATATAATATGTCCTTTATAGTATATTTGTCTAAGACTTTTTGTAAACTGAAGAATAAGTGGCTTTTGAATAGTAATGGCTTTAAGTAAATTTTCTATAGAAACAATCAATCTTATCTAAATAAGTATCTAAAGCGAAGTTCTAATATCTATTCTTCCCTTTTGCTAT